TTTTTTTTTGAGACAGAGCCTCCAGCTGTCCCCCTGGGTAGAGTGCAGTGGCATCACAGCCCATAGCAACCTCCAGCGGGCCCAGGCTGAATTCGAACCCGCCACCTTAGGTGTATGTGGCTGGCGCCTTAGCCACTTGAGCCACAGGCGCTGAGCCTGGATATCTTCTTGTTGTCAGCTTGATCTATCATTATAAAATGCCCCATTTGCCTTTTATGTAATGTTTTTTGGAGTTATTGATGATCATTGCCTAGATCTGTGATCTCATTAGGAGCTGTCAAATGGTGTGTGATTTTATCATTTATTACCTGGAATTATTCTGTCTAGAGAGAGCTTTCCCCTCAACTATCAGGTTATCCTGAAATGCATCCAGTTTATATTGCTATGCCAGGATAATTTCATGATTCTCTCATTTATCAGGGCCTTTTGGTTGTTGTTAAGAGACAGCAGTTGAGAGAAGAGGTCTTGCTGTTGCCCGGTCTGCAGTGCAGTGGCACCATTATAGCAGCTCAATGCAGCCTCAGACTGAACTGGGCTGAAGTAATCCTCCTGCCTCAGCCTCTCTAGCAGCTGGAACTACAGGAGTGAAGCGCCACACATGGCTCATTTGTCAGTTTCTGTTGCTTTAAAAGTTTTCTTTGACTGTCTTTTATGGCTTGAAAAAAGCTTTCATTTAATATCTGTACCATGGTACACCTTCCCATAAATGCCTTGTAAATTTAAAACACTTGGTAATTGGGCGGCGCCTGTGGCTCAGTGAGTAGGACGTTGGCCTCATATACCGAGGGTGGTGGGTTCAAAGCCAGCCCCAGCCAAACTGCAACAAAAAATAGCCAGACGTTAAGGTGGGTGCCTGTGGTCCCAGCTACTCAGGAGGCTGAGGCAAGAGAATCGCCTAAACCCAGGAGCTGGAGGTTGCTGTGAGCTGTGATGCCCAGGAGGACAGCTTGAGGCTCTGTTTCAAAAAAAAAAAAAAAAAAAAAACCCACTTGGTAATTTTCATTGCAGATTCCCAATGTTAATCAAGGCATAAGGTGGCTCTGCCTAAATGGCTAGTACTACTCAGAGAGTGGTAGAAAAACAAAGAAATGGGTGCCTTGTTTGTTGTTCACAGATTTAGACTTTAAATATTTTTAGGGCTATAAAGCAGAGGTTAGCCAAGTATGGCTCACTACCTATTTTTATATGACCTCAAGCTAAGAATGGCTTTTTACATTTTTAAAGGGTTGTCGGGGGAAACTGCCATGAAGCTTAAATGTTTGTTAAAAGGTATAAACCAGGCATCCTCAAACTACAGCCCCGCCAAATGTTTTTTGCTGCCGCTGCCTGTCCTGCTTAGCAGCCGACTCGTCCCGGGGCCTGCAGTCCGGCTCTCCAACCATCTGAGGGACAGTGAACTGGCCCCTTGTTAAAAAGTTTGAGGCCCCCTGGTATAAACCATGGTGGATGGTGCCGAAGAGATGTTCAGGCTAGATTTATTGAAAAGGGAGGGTGACCCACAGTCAGCACAGAAAGATGGTGTCTGCACCCAAAGGTAGTTAGAGTCCCTGTCTATGTGAGGCCATAAGGGGCAGGCACATTCCACAGCTTGCTTGGGAAATTAGGGTCTTTGGCCTAAACTTCTCACAGAGTGGGTAAACCAGATCCTTTGTGAATTTGTCTCAGGAGGAGGAAGGGAAAGGGCTTTTGTGTGGTTGCACTCAGCTCTCTCCCCAACATTTATTATCTGTACTTTTAGAAAAAATATTTGTCGATCCCTCATATAAAGCAACCCACATATTAAAGTAACTCTGGGTGAGAGGTGTATCTGTGAAATAACAGAGCAGTGGAGTATGTGACTTTTGTGCGGAGAAGCCACAGATCTCGAGAGAATTATGAGCACTATGCTAAAAATGCTCATATACAAAACCATGTCTGTGTCCATTCTCCTGGGTCCCAGGTTGAAAACCTTTGCACTGTAATATTGTTTGTTAGTGGTAGGCTTGGGCTCCCTAACAGAGCACCAAGGTTGGGTGGCTTAAACAACAGAAATTTATTTACTCACAGTTCTGGAGGTTGGAGCCAGCAGGGTTTGTATCTAGTGAGGCCTTTCTTCCTGGCAGGTAGACAGATAGCTGGCCCCCTTCTCATTGTGTCCTCACAGCACTTTCCTCTGGGTATGTATACTCCAGGTGTTGCTTAGTTTTTTTGAAGGAACACTAATCCTCTTGGATTAGGGCCCCATTCTTAGGACTTCATTTAACCTTAATTACACCTCTTTAAAGGCTCTCTCTGCAAACAGTCAAGTTGGGGATTAGGTTTTAACCTATTAATTTGGGGAGACACAACTCATTCCATAACAACATAAATACTAAATCTAAGTATAATTGAGTACTGTATGAGAGATAAGTGTTCAAGTCACTTGCTGCTGAATATCACCTGCTACCTTATAGGCTAAGGAGTCCTACTGAGTCAATGAACATAAATGAAATCAGACTGATGCACGAGAAAATTCATAGAGGGACATACAGTACTAATTTAAGTATCACAGATTAAAATAGTGTAGCAGTTCTGAAGACAAACTCACAATCAGAATAATCAAGGGAAATTCCCCCACCCCCTTAAAGAAGAGAATGACCTATGTTTGGAATTATTTGCATGTATGAGGTTATTCTTGTTGGCATCAGAACATTTGCCGACTACATGCCAAAGCCAGAGTTGAAGTGGTCTATGTAGGGTGTGGGCAGATATCTACAGAGTCGGGAGGAGAATGAGATCCTGCAGCCTTGGAACTGCAAACTATGCATCTAAGACCTGAACTGGAAAATAGTTCACAATTTTGGCACAGAAGAAAATGGTATATTAGGTAATTTTATCTGGGATAGAGAGAAATAGGATGCTAAAATATATCAATTCCTAAAAAATTTTAAGTAGTAAAATTTAGGGAAACATTATAAATCTGAAGAATGATTCAGTTAACATAAAACAGCTTTGATAAAACCAGGCCCATGAAGTTTTTGTTTGGAGGAAGGGTGAGAGCCCAGTGTTCCATGATTATGCTACTGATTTCTCTGTGTATAATTTGTATTGTCCAAAACTGTGAACTAGCTCAAAACTGAAAACTCTGAAGTACCAATTCTCTTGAGCAGCAGGGATATAATCTCTACTTCATTTTGAAGAAAATCTGATAAAAACTTAAAAGGTTTTGTGTCTGAGGTGAGGACTCTTTCATATTTGGGTTTGCCTTTCAAACAACCATTAGGAATTGAACAGTTTACATCAGAATTACAGTCCCAATAGTGTCTTGTTTGTCCCTGAAAATGGGATGAGCTAGTGTTACAATTAGAGGATTATGGTAACCCATGTAGTATCTGGTGTTTGAGTTTAGCATAATAAAGGCTAATAAAATTAAAATACTTTTTAGTCTCCCCCCAATTTTTTAAACCTAATCTCTATAGTTCTAAATATTCTAAATAATAAAAAATTTATATGAACACATTTGAATACTAATTTGAGTTACAACTTTTATTCTTTATTGTCACATTTTCCAAGTTTTGGCACCCAAACTTGGCAAACATCATGGAGATTTATACAAACACACATATACATATATACATACATGTTTAAGTTTAAAGCCCCAGCTTCCTCATTAACCCCATGCTTAGGCTCCGGTTAAAAAGAGGTAAAATGGGGGCAGTGCCTGTGGCTCAAAGGAGTAGGGCACCAGCTCCCCCATATGCCAGAGTTGGTGGGTTCAAACCCAGCCCCAGCCAAAAACTAAAAAAAAAAAAAAAAAAAGAAAGAAAAAAAAAGGTAAAATGGTGAGAAGATGAAAATTAGGGAAAATATGAATATACCCCAATTGACAACTCTTGTCATGAATTAAGGCAGGTATTTTAAAGCAAAATCCATCACCTTGCTAAAACTTCCAAGCTACAGCCTCAGATATTTACATACACACAAAATAAAATAAAAATTCTCTTATACACTTCAACAGGGTTTAAAAACAAGCTGGCTGAAGAGTTGTACTGCGTTGTTTTTTAGGTAACTTTTTATTAATATTTCAGTGATTAAAATTTCAGGTGTTCAAAACTCAAGTAGGAGCATCATTACACTCCGAAGCAAAAATTTTCAGGTACTCATCTTTAAATTACTACACAAATCCATCACAGTAACATTCAGGCTTTAAATTTTCAATATGTGGTAATGAGTAGATATGATCAGCATATTAGTCAATCAGTGTACTCTAGGCCGTTTCATTTTATTTTTCTCTGTAGGAGCTTTCCTCTTTTGAGATAACCCAGGCTCGGTTTCCTTATTATTCGGAAGAAATGAAACAGCTTCTGGTAGACAGTAATTTTCTATGGGAGGAGGGGATTCCTATAAAAGGGAAAATAAACATTATTTTTTCACATTTCAAACTCTTAAGTGATCTGGTGATAGATTCCTTTACTCTGCTTTGTGACAGACTTAAAAAGTATGTATTCCTACCTAGTTCTTGAAAATTTTGTCTTTCAAGGTATGCTAATTAGAACTTGTCACATTTAGTGAATGAACCCTGTGGGACAAAGTCTTCCCCTTTTAACAGAAAAACGAGTATATAACTCAAGCGTGGGGCCTGCTCAGATCTTAATGATTTTATTTGTAAAATATGGTTAATAACTATCATTTCAGTGTGAGATACTATGCCTCATATAATTTTAAAAAATATTTTTTACTTTTTTACAATAAACATGTGATATAGGTTCTTCCAATCTTCATTTTACAGAAAGAAAAAGTTAATAAAACCACCAATGTCACATACCTAGCGGGTAGCAAAGCCAAAATTCATACTCTTCTCTACCTGACTCCCGAACACTGGTATCTTTATCCCTCACAACCATTTTCCAACATAGAAGAAGAAAAGGCCCCCCCCCCCCAAATAAGTATAATACAACTTAATTTTCTGGCAACAGGGCACACTGGATAACCTGAAAATGAATCATCACAAAATACCAAGTAAGTGCCTTTGGATTCAGTTCTGCCACAGGTAACGACTATAAATTCTGACCAAAATATTATCAAAAGCAAGCACCATCAGACCCTAGAGAATGAACAAATCAAGCAATAGTAGAGGGAAGTACACATTTTCAAAAGAATAGTATGGAGCGAGTTGTCCTTTTTCGTTTGGTTATGGCTTTTGGTCTAAAGAGAGGTCTGTGTCTTGTGGGTTGGCTAAAAGTCTAACAGAGAAAAATTTGGAGTCTCAATGACTTGAACCAGACAGGACAGCAACTACAGCCACGGGAAAATGAGGTAGGGAACCCTGGAAAGGCTGTGGGAGGGAGAAGCCCAAACCTAGTGTCTGAACTCTGCCCAAATCTTTGCTTGACCCCTGAAGGGACTAAGGCTGAAGTTAAAAACTAAACTGAGATCTGAGCTGGCACTTGCTACAGAAGGTCAAAGTAAACAGCTTGCTAACAAAACAGCATTCCTTGAAGGTATAAAACAGAATCTGGAGTTTCTACAAGTCACATACAGAATACATGCAAAATTCTCCACATACGAAGAAGAACATGACCCATTCTCAAGAAAAAACACCATCAGCATCACTTTAAATAAAATAAAAATACTTAGGTATAAATGTGATTAAAACATATATAGGACCTATATGCCAAAAATTTACAAAACGCTCATGAAAAATCAAAGAGGAGCTAAGTAAGAGAGATATACCATGTTCATAGATTGGAAGACAACATGGTAAAGATGCTAATTTAAATTGATCTATAAACTTAATGCAATTCCTATCAAAAATCCCAGTAAGGGTTTTTTGTAGACATAAACAAGCTTACTGAAATTGGTATAGGCAATCAAAAAAAAAAAAGTAAAGTCTCCTAAAATAGTTAATATAATACTGAAAAAGAGGAATAAAGTAGAAGGAATTATTGCCTGAAATTGGCTTGCTTTATACAGCTTAAGTAATCAAGACAGGGTAGTACTGCAGAGGAAAAGACACACAGACCCATGCAGCTGTCTAGGGGGACCCATAAATAGACCTACACAAATAAATATGCCCAACTGAATTTTGATAAAGACACAAAAGCAACTCAATGGAGAAAAAAGAGTTCTTTAAACAAATGATGCTGGAGCAGCTAAAAGTATTTAGGGAAAAAAAATCCTTTGTCCTAAATCTCACACTATATAATGATGGTCAAAATGCACCAAAGGCATAAAACTATAAGACTTTTAGGAGATTAAAAAAAAAAAACCTTTCAAGATCTAGTGTTATGTAAAGCCTTGACACTAAAAGCCCAATCTATAAAAGGAAACACTGTTAAATGTGACCTCATCAAAATGTAAAACTTGGCTTAGCACAGTGGCTCGCACCTGTAATCTCAGCACTTTGGAAGGCTGAGGTGGGAGGATTGCTTGAGTCTAGGAGTTCAAGACCAGTCAGGGCAACATAAGGAAACCTCATCTCTCTCTCTCTTTCTCTCTCTTTTTTTTTAATTTGGTTTTTTATTTTATTTTATTTTTTTTTTTTGAGACAGAGCCTCAAGCTGTCCCCCTGGGTAGAGTGCCATGGCATCACAGCTCAAGCAACCTCCAACTCCTGGGCTCAAGCGAGTCTCCTGCCTCCACCTCCCAAGTAGCTGGGACCACAGGCGCCCACCACAATCCCTGGCTATTTTTTTTTTTTGGTTGCAGCCATCATTGTTTGGCGGGCCCGGGCTGGATTTGAACCTGCCACCTTAGGTGTATGTGGCTGGCACCTTAGCCACTTAAGCCACAGGCGCCGAGCCATGAATTTGGTTTTTTAAAGAGAGTCTCACTATGTTGCCTTTGGTAGAGTGCTGTGGCATCATAGCTCGCAGCAAAATTCCTGGGCTCAAGTGATTCTCTGATCTCAGCCTCCCTTGTAGCTGGGACAACAGGTGCCCGCCACAATGCCCAGCTATTTTTAGAGACGGGGTCTTACTCTTGCTTAGGCTGGTCTCCAACTCCTGAGCTCAAGCAATCTGCCCATCTCGGCCTCCCAAAGTATTGGGACTACAGGCGTGAGCCACCATGCCCGGCCTGGAGACCTCATCTCTGAAAACAACAACAACAAAAAACCCTAAAAAAAAACAGGTGCAGTGGCCCTTATGCTCATACCTGTAAATTCTAGCACTCTGGGAAGCAGAGGCAGGTGAACTGCCTGGGTTCAGGAGTTCAAGACCACCCTGAACAAGAGCAAGACACCCTCTCTGCTTAAAAAAAGAAAAAAGAAAAAAAACTAGCTGGGGATCATGGTGAGTGCCTGTACTTGAGAGGCAGAGGGAGGAGGATCACTTGAACCCAAATTTGAGGTTGGAGTGAACTATGATGATGCCACAGCACTGAACCCTGGGCAACAGAGTGAGACTGTTTCAAAAGAAAGGTCATAAACAACAAGTAAGCACAGCAAAAGATGTTCAATTTCATTAGCCATTAAGGAAGTGAAAATTAAAACCACTAAAATAGCTAAAATAAAAAGTAGTGACAACAAATGTTGCTGGGCACAGAGAGAAACTAAATCATTTGTATGTTGCTAGTGGGAAAAATGATGCGGCCACTCTAAAACACATTCTTGGGCATGGATCCCAGTGAAATGTAAACTTAAACTCACATAAAAAATCTGTACACAGATGTTCACAGCAGCTTTATTCATAATAGCTCAAAACTAGAAACAACACATACCCTTCCACAGGTTAATGTCCTTCAACAGGTGGCCAAATGACCTGCAGTACAACTCTAACATGGAATACTACTCAGCAATAAAAAGAAACAAATTGAAATTAAAAAAAAACAAATTCTATTGATAGAAGCAACAACCTGGACGACTCTCACAAAATAAATTTTGCTGAGTGAAAGAAACCCAATTCCAAAGGTCACACATTGTATTGATTCCACCTATGCAACATTTCTAAAATGCCACAATTATAGAAATGGATAACAGATCAGTGGCTACGAGGGGTGATAGGTGGGAGATGGCTATGGGTCAAGACAGTGCAACATGGAGCCAGGTGTGGTGTCACATTGGGTGGGAGGATCACTTGAGCCCAGCAGTTTGAGGCCGTAGTGTGCTACAGCTGCTCCTGTGAATAGCTACTGCATTCCAGCCTGGGCAACCACAGCAAGACATCCACCTTATAAAAACAAGGGCCACATGCAGGATCTCTGTGGTGACAGCCTGCTCTTTCTCCACTGTGGTGTAGATACACAAACCTATGCAAGATAAAACTGCATAGAACTAAATGTACACACACAAACAGTACAAGTAAAATTGGGGAAATCTGAATAAGCCTGGTGGATTTTATCACCGACCGTATCTTGGTTGTGACATACTATAGTTCCACAAGATGTTAATATTGGGGGAACTGGGTAAAGTGTGTATGGAATCTTTCTGTATTATAATTCTTATAAATTCACATAAAACTATAATCTCAAAATTAAAAAATAGGCAATGATTTTAAAGCAGCTGTTATAACTGTGCACAGTGATATAAAGGAAAATAGGCTTGAAATGAGTGAAATGAAGAATCTCAGCTGAAAAATAGAGAAAAAAGACCCAAAGGGTAATTTAGGGTTAGACACAAAAAAAATCTAACCCCTCAAATCTCACAGGCTTCAGAGCAGAATGAAGATAACAGAGGGAAAATACCAGTGAAGTGGGAGATGGATAAATAAATAGGAATCAGCCATCAAAAGAACACAATGAAAAAAAAAAAAGGACTGCAAAAAAGTGAACACAGCCTTAGGGACCTGTGATACTGTATCAAAAGGTCTAAAATGGCCAGGTGTGGTGGCCCAAAACTGTAATCCCAGGTGTGAGGATTACAAGGGAGGCCAAGGCAGGAAGATTGCCTGGGCTCACTAGTTCAAGACCAGCCTGAACAAGAGCAAGACTTTGTCTCTAAAAATAGCCAGGTTTTGTGGCAGCTCCACTTGGTAGGCTGAGACAAGAGAATTGCTTGAATCCAAGAGTCTGAGGTTGCTGTGAGCTATGATTCCCTAAGACAGTAGTTCTCAACCTTCCTAATGCTGTGGCCCTTTAATACAGTTGAGAACTGTTGCCCTAAGAGGAAAGAACAGAAAAAAATAAGGCAGCACCTACGGCTCAATAGGTAGGGCAATGGCCTCATATACTGAGGGTGGTGGGTTCAAACCCAGTCCGGCCAAACTGCAACAAAAACATAGCCGGGCATGGGCAGTGCCTGTGGCTCAAAGGAGTAGGGCGTCAGCCCCATATCCTGGAGGTGATGGGTTCAAACCCAGCCCAGACCAAAAACTGCAAAAAAAAAATTGCCAAGCTTTGTGGCCAGAGCCTGTGGTCCTAGCTACTTGGGAGGCTGAGGAGAGAAAATCGCCTAAGCCCAAGAG